ACCACAAAACATTTTTTTTTTTTCCATGAGGTATCATAGGGTTTATATTTGTTCATCATTTTGAGCTCTTCTGGTGAAAAATGCTGTAGAAACATAATGCACAATGAACTCCATCCTGCCAACATAAGGACATAAAAGAAACGTGAGAATGACCACCATATTCCCTTTTGTACCAGTTCCGAGCACAATAACAATCTTCTGCTTACTCTCAATGCAAGGACTATATTAAACTGGTAGCAAGACAGGGGCAACAAAGGATGAAGTAAACCAAATCATTAACAAGGAAGTCTGAGGTTCATCTGTGAATCTAGTATGAATGGTTAGAGAAGTTACTGCTCTTTAGTTCATGTTGCTGGGAGTACTATCCACACAGCTAACCAAGATCATGGATCTTGTAAAAATTTCCTGATCAGCTTTAGCAGAAAATACAGCTCATAAGGTCTCATGTGGTTATTCCAGCTAAACTGGTTTATTTTTCAGGGAAACAATTAAGAAGCACTCATACATGTTCAGCATAGCTAAGAGTGGTAAAGTTTTTAGATGGTTCAATTGCTCTGTGATATAATTCCCTGCTGCCTGGCTACACAGCACCTGTCCCTGTGCTGGTTCTCTCCCTTTCTCAGGATGCCTTTCAATTGCATGGGGGAGACAGGCTTGGGGGAGGATAGAGTCCTCCTACTCTCACCTCCAGCTAAATCACAAGCTCCTTGGGAGGAGAGTGAAAGGGAAACACATTAAGGAAGGTGTTCATGCCTTATGAGTATGAGAAGGGGTTATGGGTGACTGGTGAAGTCCCCAGTATTCAAACCCTTCTTCCGGAGTGCATCAGAAAATCTATACAAGACTTGTCTGAGTTTAGATTTTCTTCCCTTGGTCACCTATCTTTTTCATCTCAGGATTGTGAGTTATTTCTTATCTATCAACTCATTTTCTTGACGTGCCTAAATAATTCAATTTTTTTTCTAGTTAATTTAATCAAATTATTTTCACTGACTGATAAAGTTTCCTCCAAGTCAGAGATAGATTACTTGCTTGCAAAAGTTCATGTTAATGATTTGTCTTACACATATAAAATGTCCTTTCATTTTGCAATATATTTTTCAATGTACATGATGTTGTATAGAAGTGACTTTCCAATTGCATATTGCAAATACTCAGACACTATTTAAATATACTGGTTTCTTGGACTGCAACTATTGATCTGATCTTTGTCACTGGAAGCTTATGGTGCAAGACCTTCCTTCTCTGTCTCAGTTAACTTTTTTTTTTTTTTTTTCCCCTCTACATCTTGCTTTGCTTTACTTCCTTACTAGCTCATTTAAGGGTTGGGTTGTTTTTTTTTTTTTTCTTTGTTTTCTTCTCAGCCGTTATATTTCCTTTCCTTTAACAGCTGCTCTTAAGGAATTTCAGTGTTGTATAGTTATTTGTGAGCTAGACTGTTTTACTCTCTTGGTACCTGCTGTCTTTACTTGAAGCCTCTAAACCAGTAATTGGTAACAAGTTTCTCACAGTGGGTTTTACACACAGCTGCAAGGCAGAAAATAAACAGTTCTTTCAAGTCTACACTCTTAGGGTTACAGCTGTATACTAATGACTTCCCCAGCTTGCTAATGAAAATTTTAAAGAGATATCATCCATTTCTATTAACAGATTTTTAAAAGCTTTTCCACAGTTTAGGCACGACCTTGTAATGACAATTGTGTGAACAATATTCTTCCTAATAAAAGTATCTTTCCTAATTAAACTAGTCACTGGTGTGTAAGTTCATAACTTCTCATCAAACAATAATTTACCTTCTCAAGGTTCTTTTGCTTATAATTTTTTTAAAAAAATATAGTAAGAATGACTGATGGCTTGTCATTCCTAATTGTTTCAATGTTTAAATAACAAGAAAAATAACAGAAATTTGTTCAGAATTTTCTTTTCATGCTTTTTGAGGAGAAATTTTCAAGTATAAATAGCATTTAGGTGGATGCTTTTGTTTTTACTAAAAAATATATGAACACATAGTAACAACCAAAAAAAGTAAAAAAAGCAGTCTTCAGATAAAATGTTCTGACATTTTCCTCTTAAAGATTTTTCAAAAAAAAATCCAATGCTTTTTGGAAAGTGGGGGAAGGGAGAAATAAATGTTTATTCAGCTATTCCAGTCTTAATAAGCTAGGTCATGACAATACACAAAAGGATATCTTTTGTCAAAAATACAACAAATGCATCAACTTTGTGTATGTGTGTGTAGATAAAGGAGAAAAATAGAGTTAAATAGAATTAATATACCCTTTGCAATCAAACTTGTTCTACTCAGGGTTTTTTTCACCTTCTAAAGAAACGTTTTCAAAGGTTTCAGAGGTATTTCTCTCAAGCTATACCAGTATTAGCACCTAGGGTTTTTTTACAGAATGAAACAGTATAACTAGCTCTTGTTTAAGCTTTTCATGTGACCGTTTCATCTGCTAATAATACTTCAAAAGCTTATTTAACAGGTTCAAAAAACATCTTCAATTTTGTTTTCACAGGTATGCAAATCAGACTACTAAAGTTTTAGGATGTTGGCAAAATAATATATTTTTCCCCACCATAAATACAGTAGGAAGAAAAAATTGTTCATTTCTATTGATTTTGAATGATAGATACTGTGACTGTACAGCTGAATAGGGATAACCTCTTGATTTAGGAGGGAATAGCATGATTGTCGCTTTTGTGTTTGTCTACCCCTACCACCACAGTGAAATGGCAAAGTGCTCAGGGTCACATGGAATTGGGTTCAGGCTCTAGTTGTGTCATGCTCATTCACGTCATGTCTATAAAACAACTCTGCATTGCTTAATAGAGCAATGCTTTCTGCTCCAGGGCATTTTGTAAGTACTTTGGAAAGAAGTGCAAACCCTCTGCCTCTCTGTGTCAAAAACATGAAGGCAAAACCACCTGGCAGCAGCAAGGAGGATCTCTTACCAACTGCAATGTGTGAGTTGCTTGAGTGCAGCTCTCCATTGCAGGCTGATGAGTGGGAAGGAAAAACCAAGGTGCAAGAAACCGAGAGCTCTAACACCTTTTCACACAGCTTTTTATTAGCCTAACCTGAATTTCCTTTCTAAGCAGAGCATGCAAAGTGAGGAGAAATACTATATTAGTATATTATTTTTAAGATGCCTGTGAACAGGTAGCTGACTATATTATAGTATACCCTGTCAGAACTACGCCCTTTAACTTCTGTTTATTGAAGGCAGGGAATTCAGGTTTAAAATATAAATCAAGAATAACTACAGATGTAGAGACCTCAGAAGGTGTCTTCACAAATCTTCTGTCATTTAGGTAACTACCAGCTTCTGTAATTCTGTGTCCAAAATGCCAGAGGCAATCTGAAATAGCAGCTTTTTTTTTTTTTTCCTTTGAAAAGTTGTTTCCATGACTTGAGATGTTACATGAAATCTTTTCTTTCCTGCCTTCTCCAGGGGACAACAACTTCTTATTTGATTCATTATGTTGAAGATGTAAGCATGGACCATTTGAGGTAGTAGAAGTGAGATTTCCCAGAGTGTGGGAAGAAAAGCATGTTCTCTACAGATCTCATTCAGTAAAGTGCTGTGAAGGGGCATTATTTTGCACTTCTCTACTAGTTCCAAGCTGGCAGATACAGGATTCTTTTATTTTAAATAAAGCAGTACTCCTGTATGTACAAACTTGATGAACTGACTAGCAGCAAATAATTGTGTGTGCCCCCTACTTTATAAATACAAATTCTAATGTCAGTGTTAATGGGATAGTGCGTTCTATTTTTTTTTAAGATTACAAACATCAGAATGGTGACAAATAGAAATGTGGACAGAACTTCTATAGGTGTCATGGTACCTTTGGATCCTGAACAGTGCATTCTCCCGTTTAATATTAATTACAAGGTAAAAAGCATCTGACAGTTCACAAAATCAGAACAGAATCAGCTTGACCACATTATATGCTGTTTCACATAAGAATTCTTAATGATCAAATGACTTTTGTTTCCCCACTTTTCATTAGAACCCCTTGTTGCCATCCAGTCTTGATTTTGGAAATTAAAGCTAACAACCAGATTGAAAGAAGTCGGAGAATGACAGCGTGGGGCACAGTCTCAAAACTACAACTAACAGCATGAGGCAAAACGAACCTCAAGCTATTCCATCTCTTAAAGAAGGAAGAGGGAGAAAAGAGCATTTGCAGGAAAACTCAATTATAACAACCCACAGCTATAGTAAAGCACTTGTGAATGTTGACACTAAAGCTTTTTCTGCTTAATGATTTAATTAAATACCTAGAAGCCAACTCTTCTCCTCAGTCAGTGTCAGAGCAGTACTCCTCCATGGATAAATGTTTACAGCAAAAGCTCTGCTGAGGGTTTCAGCAAACAAGTCTCAGAGAACTGAGAAGGCTTTCAGCCGAGGCACTTGAGATCAAGAAAGCACCAGTGATTAGAAACTAGCAGTACAATAACAGGACGATTTAATCCACCCAAATGTCAGTTGCTGGTTTACAAGTTGGCAATCCCATCTTCATCTGCAGACAAAAGGGCACTGGTTAGTCATCTGTTTAATTCTCTTGCTGCAGCATGTCATTTGGATGTTGAAGGAAAATCCCTTGATTCAGTCTGCCATTTCTGACAGTCTCCCTCTAGACCACATTAATAAGCTTTTTAGAGAATTGAATGCAGAATAATCAGCAGGCAGCCTGCACTCAAAATGGAGACAGAACAGACAGCAGAAATGCTTTCTTCCCTTTGTAGTTATGGTGTATAGGTGACCCTTCTCTCACAGAGCAGCAAATGATTTAGACTAAGATTGCCTTTGAAAGCCACAACGTAATTAACCATTTTATGCATGTGATGTCTGCCTAGCTTCAAAACCTGATGTTTTTCAATGGAAAAGATTCAGTTGCATTTGAGTTAGACTTACGAAACACGCTAACAATACAGCAGACAGATAGAAAGGCTGCCTGGCATCCTGGAATACCTGGGGAATTTCACTCAGAAAACAAACATGTTACTCTTTAATGTAGACTCACATCTCATTATAAAATCACAAGTGGAATGAGACACACTTCGCCTTTGTAACTGTGTTGCCAGGAAGCAGGTAAGTGTTGTGCTACAGACAGTCCTGCTAAGATCTGCATGATTTTAATGTATTTTGAAAGCAATTTGTTAGTTAATGGGGTCTTGCTGTGGATATTTCCTGTTTTTCTCTATTAATAATTTCTCTATTGCCAGTTGTAAATTGAAATTGTCAATAGCTTTGTTTAACCTATTGTGCACTGGCTGTTTCAAGGTGCACCTGAAAAAAAAACAAAAACAAAAAACCTATTTCAGGTTATCCTTATTTTGTTTTGGGAAGGATTTGCTGGTAAAGCATTACTAAACACTGAAAATGAGAAAGCAGAAACCTTGGAGACCCCAAAACTCCTTTTATTTCACTCAGAGATGAAGAAAGTAAGCACCATTGAAATTCAAGCTCAAGATATGCACATACAGACAAGAAAAGTGAAAGGAGATTAAAAGGAGAAGGGAAGAAATGTAATCCTGTGAGATGTGGTAAGATGTAGGTAAGGTTCGGGGAGGATTTGTCAAGCAGAAAATTGACAAAACCTGCTATTAATTATTGTGCTGATGCTATCAGTGGCATTACCATAATCAAAAAGTGAGGCGTGAGCATAATTCACAAGGCGCTAGGTAGATTGGGGGTTAAATCACTTATTCTCAAAGGAGATTTTAAGAAAAAACATAATTAACAGTAAGAGAGAGCACAACATTTCTTTTTTGTAGCCCATGTAGTCAGTAATATCTAAGTAAGAAATTCAGACATACCGGCCTGTTTGTGTGTGAAGGAATACAGGATGATGGAAGGGAGACCTTATTTGTCAGCTGCAGCTACCAGGAAAGAAGACTTGATCACACTTAACCAACTTTTGTTGGTCTCTTTAAAAACCAATATTCTTGACATTTTGCAGACAATTACTAGCATAAATTCCCTTCTATGAAGAGCTTATATTCTAAAGTACCAGGAATATAGGAAAAAAACATGTACAAAAGGAAAAGTGATTAATCGATTACTTTTTTAAGTTTCCTTTTTATTTGCTTTTTCCTTTAGAGAGACAAAGAAAATAAAACATGGCAGCAAAGACAGAGACAGGAGACACCAGTCTTTTAGAAAGTCTTCATTCTCAACAATAGCATCTTCAAGAGAAAATGTAGCAAACAAATTTAAAACAAGACCAGACCATCAGGTTAACCATATAACTTGACTCATTGCCGTGCAAATTTAAACTATTAAAGAAGCTGAGACAAATTCAATATTTACAGAAGCTGCATGTTAACAAGTCAACATTTACCAACTGTTATATGCAAAGTTGAATAAATAATGCTGAAAATGTTTGCAAATGTTACTTTGAAGAAAAACATTACATTCGCTTTGATTCACAACATATTATTCACACACGGCAAATATTCATGCAAGCAAATCTGTGTTTATGGTGATATTGTAATCTCTCAGGCTAATAACTATCTGCGTTACTGTTCACTCTGGAGAAAGTCATATGGCAGTGCTAAAAGCTCCTGGCTATTCTGAGATTCAAAGAGAAATCACCAGTAATAACTGTGTGACTAGCGATATAAAATAAGAAACAGGTTGGTTTTAGGGATTTTTAAGGTGAGTGTCATAATTACAAGATCTAAAGATGTTTTTGTTTCTTTGGTTAGTGGTCATATTTTTGTTTTCAGAATGAAAACCAAACTATATACACTGCCTGGATTCTTGGTCCATTTACCACTTTAAGAAAGCCCATGAAAATCCTCCTCCCAGGAGGGGTCCAGGAACAGTAGCTGATGAAGGCAATGGATATTGCCCTCACTGGTAAGCAGAAAGTGCTTGTTAATACCCTGTTACAAGACTCTTTTTGCTCTCAGTAATATTTCCAGATTGAACTGTAAATGAAGGTTTCCATTTAGAAGGAAATATCACGGAAAAATTGCAGTAACCCTAATGAAGAACAATATTGGAAGACTAGAGGGTGAAACCTGTTGTGATTTTGTGTGGGACTGCCTGTAGATTTTCAAGATCTACAATACATTGTAGTGGGTGAATAAATTAATGCAAAATTGTTATAAATCCCATAATATTCTGATCCATGCAACAGCATTACTTGGTAAATTAAATGTTGAAAATGAAAAATCAATATTAAAGGGAGACCATTGAATAATATAGGGGAGGTCTATGTAACAAAGGTAAAGATGTGAATTTGAATAGTGAAGAAAGTAATTTATGCTTCTAATCTGTTGGAAGGACTTGTAGGAATGATTCGCTTCGAATCAAATCAAATTTGTCAGCAGCTGTGGTCTACTTTTCAAACTAAAAGTGTTTTATGCTTTTTGAAATTCAGTTATGACCTCCTGAATATTTATAAATCACTTTTGTTGTCTGTTTTAAAACTAATACTAGTGATGTTAATCGGCTCTGATTAGTCAGTATAGAAATTCTCTTGGAAACTTTGTACTTGCCCTTCAGTAAGAATAGAGCTCTCACTCCTCTGCGCACAAAAGCAACATCTCTAGGACCATTTCTAAGACTGAAAATAACTAGTTGAATTTTTTTTGGTTTGGACCCAAAATGGCCAACAGCACAAGTGGCTTTGTGATGGTCTGTGATGTGACATCTTAGTGTATACAGAAGCAGCCACTAAACAGGTCATCTAACATAGTTAATCATGGTGATAAAAGTCAAATGAGATAAATTTGATTTGTATAAGATGAAAGCTAACAAAACTATGTAAAGAAAGACTACTAGACAAGAAATCCTCTCAGAAAGTCTTTGGCAGGTAGAGACATCTAAGTCAACACTTCCTGTATTTGTTGCAGTGAAATGCTGCTTTTAGAGCATCAGTAGGGTACAGTTTGGAGTGGTATAGGACAGCCATTGAGGGAGAAGTATTTAGGAATTTGAGGCCAAATCAGGCCAAAACCACACCATTCTTCATGGGCTATTATGGAACTATTTTGAGATAAGCATTACATTACAAGTTCAAAGTCCCCTGGGCTGCTACTAAAAATTATAGCGGTCACTGGAGCAGGCCCTTCTCCATAATTATGACGTTGTATTTCAACATCTCCTTAGCCAGTTGATTACAGTAGTTTAGAATGATAGAAGCCACTGAGACAACTGCAAAATCAAATATGCTTTAGAGGCATATATCGCTAGTTAAATTAATTTTATTCCATTTACCAATAATGTAAAAGACAGTACCAAAAGTCTGGAATATTGTCTGACTCAAGAGCCATTTTTTACTTCAGGAGACTAAACCAGTAAAGCATAAAAATTTAGTCTCTTTGCTTCTTTTCTGCTTTCTTTGTTGCATCCAAGTTTAAATAAGAAACCATAAATACTGTTCCTAAAATAAAATTCCCACACAGAAAAAGCCTCTAAGTCTTTGTTAAGTCTAATATCTGCATGCAGTCATGTGACTATTCAAAATTACTCACTGAAGCAGCTGTGAATGCATATGAAATGAAAAACTTCTGTCTTATGTATGATGAATATAAAACGTGACTCTCTATTTGCTAAATACTTAGAGCCTTAATTCTCTGCTTTTCCTCATTATTGTAATCACAACTGTTTGAATTACCATTGGCAGAGAGTGTTTGCTAAAACATGAAGTTATTGACAACTATTGCATAGGAGAAGTGAGTCTTTTGAACAGGATGGTTAGCTGCTGTCCTGACAGTGACAATCCCCATTTTCAGTATGACAGTGAGTCCAGTTGGATCCAACAAGACTCCCTGAAGTGTTTTTTGCGAATTCTTACACCCACCTGGTGCATAGTCCCATGTGATCACTCGAGCACATGCAGTTTGTTGCTATTGAGTATCCTAAACTATGTACAAAACACCTACTAACTATCTTACCCGTGTGCAAAGGATTGTCCTACATGATCCATTCTTCATCTGCAGGAGCAGTTCTACTGACTATTACAAGTGCGTATCCATGTACAGTTTAGTCAATTCTGTTGCTGAAACTGTCTGAAGGAGTTTCTGGAATGACCAGGGTTGCCACCCAGAACTAAACTTTATATTTAATCATTAAAATAGTGCCCAGTAGTTGGACTACATACCGCAGAAGCTGCATGTGGGAATCTCTGTGTCTGTCTAAAATTCTCACCTGAAATATGGTAAAAATTGGTCAAATGTTTCATTGTGAAGTCAGCTAGGAATCCAGTCAAACACTTTGGCTCAGGTTAACCTGTTCTCTCAAATCAGTCCACTGTTTCATCTATGCAGAATGTAACTGTGGAACTCCTGGATGACATGGTAATTAGTGAATAAGTGCATTGGCTATGCCTTCAAGCACAAGATATACAAAACTATACTGAAATTGTAACTATAACATCCTCCACAATTATAACAGTAATTTGAGGGCTCTTGCCACACCAGCTCCCTAACAGCTGTCTGTTGAATCCAAAGTGGTCATTGCCAATTAAAGGGTGTCCCATACTACGAGCATAAGAGCTGGGTGAAGCCCCTAATGTCTGAACTTACAGACACTCCAATGTCTCAACGTGCACTTTTCTTTTGGCATAATGATATGGTTTCCAATGGGACTTATAGTTCAAGAACCTTAACACTACCACCACTCCTGGACTGGTACTGATGCCAGTCTTTTCAATAATTTACTCATTGGATCATTCACCCAGTAATGGGTGTCCTTAGCTTCAATATTAAAGTCTAAGGATCTGGTCTACCTCTTAGAAATCAAATTTCTCGCCCTGAATTCAGATTATGAACAGCTCTAAATCTGGAATGATCACATTTTTAATTTTGGCTTGATCACTAATAAAAGAGGAACTAGTGACAAATACCCAGATCCTTGTCTGGTGTTTCAGTTGTTTTGGTGTAGGACTTGAACTATACTTTACAAATAATGGAACTGTAAAAACATTTATTTATCTTTTTACATGACAACCTCTAAACTCTCTGTAATGGAATAGGAATAAAGCTGGTATACAAAGTTGAATCTTAATACTCTGCATTAGATACAGCAAAAAAACTGACAGTTTTCAGAAGTGTTCTTTTTTTCTGATAGTGCTTAAATCAGTCTGTTGTTTATTTTCAACCAGCTCTCTTCTGTGTAACGATTTGCAGAGTTCATCAAATAAATGGACAGACTACAACAGCTGCCATAATGTCAGCTATTGGAATTTCATTAGCAAAATAAGTCATTTGCTATCCTGAGTCATTTACTACCCTTACTATCCTATTACATTCATTTTAGATGCAGTTCCTTTGAACTGCAAGTCTACTTGTCCTAGATTGACCTACCACTCAAGTGAGAAACTACTCACCTGAGCAAAACAAATTGGATTTGGTCTGTGGTTCCTGAAGCCTCACAGGGAGGGGAATTCTTCTGTGTTTGCTTTTTTTTTTTTTTTTTTTTTTTTTTTTTTTTTTTTTTTTTTTTTTTTTTTTTTTAGTTTAGTGATGAAACTTTATGAGTCTTCTTTTGAACTCTTCTATTTGCAGCTGAATCAAATCAATGTTACTTGCTCAGATTGGCTGTTGCTTAAGACACATTACAGGCTGGTGCCATACAGAGGATGTCTCCCTTCTTATTGATGCTATTAACTTAATTTTGTATTAATCAATGTGAGGACAGTTTTTTCTGATGGTCTATAATAAAGAGATTTAGTCAGTTTTGTAACCGTATTGCTGTTGGGTTTTTTTGTTTTGTTTTTGTTTTTGTTTTTGTTTTTTTTTTTGTCTAAGTATTTCAGATATAACTAAGGCAAAACATATTTATTAATTAGTATTATTTGGTCTTATTGGAAACATTTCCAACTATAGAAAAAAAAGTAATCAAATTACTTAATTCAAATGCAGACCAATAAAAAAAGAAACTAATCTTATTACAAATTATATAGATAGTCTTAGGAAGAGCAAAGATTACTCTTTTGGAAGACTGTGTTATATATCTTAAGATGTCCCTTGCATTTTCTCAGGAAGTAATTCCTTGTTTGGTATAAAAATCACCCTTTAAAAATACCACATGCAGTAAAGAACCTTTTAATTTCTTTCTCTTGCCCTTGGATGTTTCTAATTGACTAGCTACATTAACCCCACCTCACAAGTGCGGGAAGGATGCTGAGGAACTGACAATGATTTTCGCAAAATTCAGATTGAGAGGAAGATGGCTGTGATTAATGTTACCTACTTCTCCTTTCCCATCAGACATCTTCATCCTGTATTTTCAAGTGATGTGTACATTCCCTGATGCTTACTTTTTAACTGGGGTCCTGTAGTAATGAGAAGAAAGCACCAAGGTACTCAAATTTCTGTGGGAAATATACAATTCTGCAAAAAGCAGTCTTTCTTGTCCATGAACAGACAAACCCTGACACAAAGGCACATTGGTGCTAATTGGAATTCAAAATTTAACATGGTCCTTATGCTACCAAGGTGAAGTCACAACAAAAGTTTCCTCTTCAGAAATTCACCCAGCTGTCCTCAAATTCCCATTCAGTTCCAAAGTTGCCCATGAAGAACTAGGTTCAAAATCATATGATTAAGTTATATACTTTTCATGCATAGAATTGTCAAATAAATGAGCAATTCAGTAAATATATGTGAAAAACATATATACACAATTGCAGTAAGAATACTTTTTTTTTTTTTTTCCTGAACAGCTCAATATTAAAAAATTTCCACATTACCTTCTAGCAGCACACACCTCTGATGAACAGAATAACGAACAAAATAACTTTTGTAGAAAGAAGTGAATACTTCCATTTGAACAAATGTACCTGGAAACACACAAATCTTTCAAGCAAGTAGCCATCTTTCAGGTGTGAAAAAATAGATTCAATATAG